TTTTTTTTTTTCTTCTTCCACTGATTTTGGATTTAGTTCCTTGTTCTTTCTCTGGGCCTCAGATGTAGCATTTCATTACTTGCTGGGTATCTCCCTATTTTAATGTCAGCACTCCATGTTCTCACTTCCCTCTTAGAGCTCCTTCATACTGTTCCAGAGATTTTGACATGCTATACGCTGTTTTTATTTGTGTCTAATTATTTTGTCAATTAAAAATTTATTCTATGACAAATTCCTCAAAGTGTATTATTTGATCTCAGGTGTTATAATGCCTTCCAATTTTATCTAGTTGTTAATTTCAAATTTGATTCCTTTGTAATCTGATAGGATACAAGAAATTATCTCTATTGTTGATATTTGCTAGGTCTTATTTTGTGTCATACAATATGATCCATTTTAGAGAAATCTCCATGTGCCACTGAATTTGGTTGTCAGTGGATATGATATTTAATAGGTGTTTCTTATTTCCATTTATTTAGTAGTATTTGTGAGTTACAAAGAGTCTTTACTTACTCTAGGTCTGGTTGATCTATCTAATGATGAAAGTGGTGTGTTGAAATCAGACAAGATTATTTATTGTCATCTCTTTGTTTCTTTAAATTGAGAAGGATTTTCTTTATGTATGTAGGTGCCCAATGTTTGAGGCATAACATTTGTGATCATGGTGTCATGTTGTTGGATGATTCCCTTGACAAGTATGAATTGACCTTTTTCATGTCTTCTGATTACATATAACTTGCTCTACTTTGTCTAATATGAATGTAGCTTCCCTGCTTGCTTTGAGTCTCCATTTCCATGTTGTGTCTTTTCCCACCCTTTCCCATTCAGCCTGTGGCTGCCGTTCCCTGTAATGTGAGTTTCTTGTAAACAATACACTTGGGTCTTGTTTGCATATCCATTCTGAAAATATATATCTTTTCATTGCAGAGTTCCCATGCTGTGTCATTGTAGAGAAATGCTTATCCCTGTCATTTTATTTCTGATGCTTACTTCAGACTTGATTCTC